TGCTTTGATTTCTACGCAAAGAAATTTACAAAAGTTTGTATGTACATACATATGAGTAGATGAGTGAGCAAGTACAGAGTTTATGTTGGTTGCGCTGACTGCGCAGCTTGCGCTTGCTCCATTACCAAACAGAATTCTTGAATCTTACTTCAGGCAAGTTCTTTCTATCCAGACTGATATCGAGAAGTTGGCACCGACGATGGAGGATGCGCTGATTTAGAATACCTTTACGTTCCCACGAATCTTGCAATCGCAGCTGGTTGAGGACCATAACGTGACGTTGTCGGACACAACATGCATAATGCAGGCTAACTCGAAATCGCCACAACTTAAGCTCCCAATCTTTACCGGCAAGTATTCCGAATATCATAAATTATAAATAAATTTATTTAAGTAAATCATTGAACGCGAGCTAAGCCTATCAAGTATAGAGAAGTTCATTTGCGAAATTGCCTTCAAGGTCAAGTTTTGGATACCGTAGCATTTCAGGTGACTAATGAAAATTATCCGAAGGCATTGTACAGGTTGAATCAGCGGTATGACAACAAATCGTTAGAAAATATAATATCGTTATTTGAGCTACCAGCAGTTACGAAATCAGATGGTCTTCAATTGAGGAGTCTCATCGATAAGGCCTCAGCAATCTACGGTTCCCTTTCATTACTAGGAAGTGATATGCAAATCTCTAAAGCTATGCTTATTCATTTAGTCTTGCAGAAGTCTCCTGAGCAGGCCAATCGGAAATGGAAGGAGTTACTGGACTTCAAGACTCTGCCTACATGGGAAGATTGTACTGGGGTTTTGGAAAAGCATTGCCTATATCTGGAGTCCATCAACAGTTCACACACTTCTCCTCCAATCACTCAAACTACCAGCGAATCTGCCACTTGTAAGTCGAAAAACCAACCAAAGGGTTACTCGTTTACTTGCTCCAGCCTGCCTTCTTCACTTTGTTCGAGCACAAACTACAATACCTCGGACTGCGACCGCTTTAGGTTACTAAGTATCCGACAACGATTTGGTCATACAAAGGAAAATGAACTTTGCATAAATTGCTTGTCGAAGGGAACCTTGCATAATTGCTTGTCGACTCCTCTGGTGGCTACAGAATGGGTAAGGCATTGCTGGCCTCCTGTTCTCAAGTTAATTTTATTACTTAAAAGTTTACGCAAAATTTGTTTTGCCAAGAAGCAGAAAAATATCGACATTCAAAGCATCGTTAAGACATCAACGAATATTAAGTACAAGACCTCAACCACCAAGAAAACGCAAGTTACACGCAAGAATGCACCTTTTACGAAATTTAACTCCTTAAAAATGTAATTTAACAAAACGCAAAAATGCACTATGTATGAAATCGGATTCCTTAAATTGTAATATACATATTTATATTTACCTCTTATCTTGAATTATTCAACTTGTAAAACGTATTCATTGAATACCCTAACCTGAATTGTAAAGTTT